AATGTACAATGATACATCTTAGAATTAGAATTTTTTTAAAAAATGTGCACTATTCAATAAGTAATTTCTCTAGTTCTTAGATTTCTTCGACAGGGGTCCCTCTTTATTCTTCTCATCCAAAGCACGTTTGGCACGTTTGGCTTCTATATATTGACGCATGTCAATATTTTCCTGTTGACAAAAAAAAAGGATTAGTAGATCTTTTTTTTCATTAAAGTATTGTGTTGTCCTTTCACTTACAATCAATAGTGCTTGAGGGAGCGGGGGAGGAGGAATACTGAAGACAGGGTCTGGCACTTTCCCCATTGGATGTTGATGTGTGGCTTGAATGAATGAGGGCCATGGGAGGCCTTGCAGCGGGGGTGGGGTCGGGGGTCGCTTCGCCCGGGTTCGCTTTCTTTTGAACACTCCTTCACTGAAAACAAACAAGAATATAAGACCGATGTGTAGATAAAAAAAAGTTTGTCTGTGTGTGGATTAATTTTAAACTTACGGTATGGGGATAGGAACTTCCTCACCCGCCGCCGTTCTCCAGGTGAAGATGAACCATGCAGGGGCACGGGGCAGGGTGTTTATGAAGTTAACGTGCGTGTCAGGTCGGTGTGGATAGGCATCAAGATGTACGTCGGGCGAAGTTGATGTTTTGCAGTTTGCAGCCATTTAAGCACGCCGTTAAGACGGCCGTCCTTATGCTCACCGGCGACGGTGATGGCAGCCGCGAGAGTCTCATGCTGGGTGATAGGCTGCGGCCTGAGAGACGCGAGTCGCAAGCCTCGCGAGCGGCACTCGGTAGCCGTTGGGCCTCGCTCTCCTGATGGTAATTTGACCACCCACGGTAGAAAGGGACGGACAGTGTCGCCAGCGGCAGCGTACGGTCCTCTCGAGTCAGGACACTGCATCGTAGATTGCCCACATACATAGTCTAAAAGAGAGTGCAGAAGGCGACCAGGGATATACGTGCGAAAATGTGACAGGCTGTCACCGGGCAGGGCCGTAATGGGGGCGGGGAGCTACATACCTTAGAATGTACCATTCCTGCCCGCCTGGGGCATGTTATGTTCTCCTCCCCGTTAGCGGATCTCTCGCGTTGCACCCCTGGAGAGCTCCCTGAGAACGCTCCACTTCCGTCCTCGATTCGCCCAGAAAGAAGCGAGCACAGTTTTTGTTACCGAGACGGTAAAAAAGCACAGTTGAAAGAGGCAGTACCACTTCAAGACGGACTGTTAAAATTCGCGATGGGTCCCGCTATCGTGAAGTTGGCGGGGCCCATGTAAACGCGTCGTTCCGGCCTATAAAAAGACGACTTTTGTTTTTGTTGAGACGAGCACAGTTTTTCTTGCCTAGACAGTTCAAAAGCACAGGTTAAGGTGCGTCACTGGGTCCTGCTGGCCTTGTTTAGCAGGGCCCTCCTGTCAAACATGCGTTTTTGACGGTTTCTTTGGCAACGTGCGTGGAGGCACACATCAAACGGATAGCACGGCCTGGAAACAGTTTATTTTCTGTTGTAGCGTAATCGGATTTTTGAAATTCGCAATTAAATTGTGCGTCACTTGGTTCGCTGGCTTTACTTGGATCCTCTCGTCAAATATAGGTTTTTGACGGTGTGTTTGGCCACCTATCGCAGGTGCACAGTTTAAATAACTAGCACGGCCTGAAAGCCCAATTTTTTCCGGTTAAAATGGCGCAATCGGATTGTTGAAACTCGCGATGGGTCCTGCTGTTGTGAAGTTTGCGGGATCCATGTAGACACGTAATAGTATTGTTGAAATTCGCGACAAGTCCTGCTGGCCTTGTTTACCAGCTTGTTTACCAGGGCCCTCCCGTTAAATATACGTTTTTGACGGTTTCTTTGGCAACGTGCGTCGACGCACAAATCAAACGGATAGCACGGCCTGGAAGCAGTTTATTTTCTGTTAGAATGGCGTAATCGGATTGTTGAAATTCGCAGTTAAATTAGTTTACTTACTGTTAGAATGGCGGGGGATTGTTGAAACTCGCGATGGGTCCCATTGACCGTGTTTACCGGAGCCCTCCCGTCAAATGTACGTTTTTGCCGTTTTCTTTGGCAACGTACGTTTACGCACGAATGAAACGAATGAAACGGATGAAAGAAAAGTTTTTTCCAGTTAGAATGGCGTTGTTGACATTCGCATTATGTCCTTTTGGCCTTTTGAAACTCGCGATGGGTCCTGCTGTTGTGAAGTTTGCGGGACCCATGTAGACACGTCTTTTTTCGCCCAGAAAGAGACGAGCTAGCACGGCCTGGAAGCAGTTTATTTCCGGTTAAAATGGCGTAATCGGATTGTTGAAACTCGCGATTAAATTGTGCTTCACTTGGTCCGCTGGCTTTACCGGGATCGACTCGTCAAATATAGGTTTTTGACGGCGTGTTTGGCCACCTATCGCAGGTGCACCAGTAGTTTTTCCGGTTACAGAGGCGTATTAGGATCGTTGAAATTCTCGATAAGTCCCGCTGGCCTTGTTAACCGGAGCCCTTTCCTTTAATTACGTTCTTGACGGTGCGTCTGGCGACCTGTCATTGACGCACAATTTAAACGGATAGCACGGTCTGAAAAAAAAACCTTTTTTGGTCGGAATTGCAAAATCGAAATGTTGAAATTCGCGATATGTCCTTCTGGCCTTGTTTACCAGGGCCCTCCCCACTCGTCAAATATAGGTTTTTGACGGTTTCTTTGGCCACCTATCGCAGGTGGTCAGTTTAAATAACTAGCACGGCCTGAAAGCAAAATTTTTTCCGGTTAAAATGGCGTAATCGGATTGTTGAAACTCGCGATGGGTCCTGCTGTTGTGAAGTTTGCGGGACCCATGTAGACACGTCTGTTTTTGCCCAGAAAGAGATGAGCACAGCTTTTGTTACCGAGTCGGTTCAAAAGCACAGTTTACGCTCACTTTTTCGGCGTGCTCGGATTTAACTGTGCGTGACTGGGTCCCGCTGGCCTTGTTTCCTAGGGCCCTCCCGTCAAATGTACGTTTATGACGGTGCCTTTGGACACCTGTCATCGACGTAGGATTCAAACGGATAGCACTGCCTAAGAGCACAAGAGTTTTTCCAGTTACAGAGGCGTATTAGGATCGTTGAAATTCTCGACAAGTCCCGCTGACCTTGTTTACCGGAGCCCTTTCCTTTACTTACGTTCTTGACGGTGCGTCTGGCGACCTGTCGTTGACGCACAATTTAAACGGATAGCACGGTCTGAAAAAAAAGATCCTTTTTTGGTCGGAATTGCAAAATCGAAATGTTGAAATTTGCGATGGGTCCCGCTGTCGTCGAGTTTGCGGGACCCATGTAAACACGTAATAGCATTGTTGAAATTCGCTAGAAATCCTGCTGGCCTTGTTTACTAGGGCCCTGCCGTTAAATATACGTTTTTGACGGTTTCTTTGGCAACGTGCGTCGACGCACAAATCAAACGGATAGCACGGCCTGGAAACAATTTACTTTCTGTTAGAATGGCGTAATCGGATTGTTGAAATTCGCCATGGGTCCCATTGACCGTGTTTACCGGAGCCCTTCAGTCAAAAATACGTTTTTGACGGTTTCTTTGGCAACTTACGCGGACGCACGAATTAAACGGATAAAAGAAAAGTTTTTTCCAGTTAGAATGGCCTAATAGCATTGTTGAAATTCGCGATATGTCCTTCTGG